CGATCCGGCCCTCAACTACTACAATAATCAAAGACAAGTCTATTATACCTAGTTATATATGGCAATAACCGTACTAATACCTTTTCAAAAATCTTAAAATCAAATGAAGAATTCGAATGCAAGTACGACTTTTTATGTTCGGACTTTTTTATGTATGGTATGTTTATCTGCGAAAATGCTTGAGTAACTTGTTACAAAACTCACTTAGTATGAAGACCGTCGACATTTTGAGTGATCAGCCACACAAATTTATCCGATCTTTCCCATGATGCGATCGCTCGATGAGCTGCATTGCACGTCGCACGTGAGAAATTCGGCCATGCTAAGAAGTTACGTGACCAGTATCTGAAAAGCTCCGCAATGTGATTTCAACAATACACAGCGAGTAAGAAAAAAAAACAAGAATATAACAACACTGACCGTTTTCTAGCAGATTCTGAGCCAAGAAACTCTTGTATGGTTATAGGACGATGGTTGCTGCGCTCGTAAAGGCCTACCTTTTCGGAGCGATAGTCGGGAATCCCTTAAGCGGCAGCATAAGAAACACGTACACATTCTGCAATTCGTCTAGTTAGACCCTCACTACGTCGCTACACAGCAGGATCACTTGTTCACATGTAGACGGCCGACAAAAATCGATATCACATGTGCTTTTTGATGATTTGGAATATCTAACGTCATGTCTTTGTTATAAGGCCTCTCTTCAGGATTCTTCTGGTTAAGGGCAACAGAGTTCGTTCACAATCCTATCATGATCAAAACCATAAGTTCTCAAAAACAGCCGATTTAGACAAGTTCTGCACTTGAACCCACAGTACAGCGACTGCTCGATGCCCGGGCATCACCTTACATCTCAAATAAGTGCTGGAAAAATCAGACTGCACCGCCTAATTGGTAGAGATCAGTATGATCCAGCGTTTGTTCTTAGCTGTAGTCTAAGCAATTGTAGAAACCGTTGAATAACAAAACTAGTTCCAATGTGTCCGAAAGCGACAACACTTGAAGTGTTCGACTCTTCACTAAACCCACACTGTAAGAGTTAACAAACCAATTCTTTCCCTAACACGGACTTTCCCAAACTATATCCAACGAACGGATTAGACTTCCAGTGTGGACGGATGTGGCTCACTAGGACGAAAAGCATTTCGTCTTAGTGAGCTGTTTCGTGGCAAAGTGAGCTGTTCGTGTTTCGCGCGCGAAACAATTTTTGCCACGGAGAACTTCAGGTCCAATCATGGCAGCAGTGGACCTGAGGTTTCCGCAGCAAAAAATGTTTCGCGCTGCACTGCGAACCGCGAAAAAGTCGACTTCTGATAGTGAAACACACCCAGTTCAGGTTTATTACGGGTCTATTGCAACAAAAAGGGGGATTGTGGAGCGATGAGCCCACACTAATTATCCGGGGTGAGTGAACACATCCGCTTATGCACCAACCCCGAAGCTTCCCGTATTCAGAAGTTTGGGATCGCTTAGGCGGCACGGACTTTTGTACCATAGCCCCTGCCGCCTACTATAATCTCATCACCGTCCCTGCCTCCTGCTCTTTATTGGAATGGACTTAACCCTTTGACGACCGCCGTTATGAATGCGTCACTTCACTTCTTTCTAAATTTTTTCATCAATAATCATTAACTCTCCAACAATTTTAGTAATTAGCGCATTATTCCGCGAATTCGATAATGTATTGTGTAGTTTTGAAACATGAAAAATGCCAAAATAAACCACTAAAAACGTGTCGCCACCGAGCGAAAGTGTGGCCCCC